GGTTTAGGGTTCAAGGTTTCGGGTTTCGGTTTTAGGCTTCAAGGTTTAGGGTTTAGGCTATTAGGGTTTAGAGCAGGAGTTGTTCGCCTTCGAGGTTTAGGGTTTAGGGTTCAAGGTTTAGGGTTTAGGGTTTAGGGTTTAGAGCTGGAGTTGTTCATAACCCTAAACCCTAAACCCTAAACCCTAAACCCTAAACCCTTAGCATGTTGACGGGCTCCCTCCCTGTTCATAGAGTTGCTGGCTTCAGGTGCCCAGGTCTTTTCTCGCAGCCCACAACAGTCCATCTATACTACAACTCTGCAACTAGGTTGCCAACACCGCAGCAAGGATGGCCTCTTTGTTTAGGGATGATCCATCCCAGCAAAATTGGATCGAGAACCCGTAACTCCACTGCCCTAAATGCTCCAGCTGACCACGAAAGGTAAAGGAAAGAAAGGCCCAGCGACGGGGAGCAACGGGTCCTTCACTGCAAAGGGCAGGGAGTTCCTCCCTGAACCTCAATAAAAAGCTCAAAAGGCTTGAATGCCTGGTGTCCGTTTAAAAGAGAGACTAGGCACCCTTCTTATGAACGCTTCGACATCCCAAGTTCAGGAGTCAGTTTCGTCATGGTGTTTTTGGCCTTCCCGGGTACAGAACTCAAGTTCAAGCCGTGCAGTGGGCATAACTTGATAAGATTTCCGAAGTTGTAAGCTACTGTAAGCTTCAGGGCCTGAAACCAATCTTGGGAGCCACCAGACTTTGCCCGAACCATCCGCCACCTGGTCTACTATAGGGGCCTTCATAATTAGAACGGGGTTGTGGGTAATATTTTGCGATAATTATAATAAGGAACTCCCACAATAGTATTGGTAATTATGTAGGTCCCTACATTATAGCTTATTCTGAAGTAGTTTGCTAGCAATAACTCCTATACTGCTACGAGCTGTCCCACCGCTGTCTGTCTATTGGCTTGCTATCTGCGCCGCAGGCAAAGGCAAAGACAAAGGCAAAGGGAAGGGAAAGGAGAAGGGAAAGCATAAAGGGAAGGATAAAGGAAACTTAGTAGCTGAGTGAGTACACTTTACACTTTTGGGTTAGTCTAATCCCCTATAGAAATGAAAGTTTGCACTTTTTGTGGCTTATGAGCTCAGCAACTAAGGAAAGGAGAAGGAGCCAAGTAAGAGGCCGTCCGGGAAGGGCGGCGCACTACCTCCCTGGAGGGCCGGCTGAGCGCTGGCACCCTCCGATCTTCGCATGGAAGGGGTTTGAGCGGTTTAGGTCGTGCGAATGAATGATACAGGGGCCTATGAATAATTACCAATACTATTTTGGGGACTCCTCGTTAGAATTATAGTATAATACCCCAAAGCCATGCTCGAATTATTAAGGCCGCTATACTACCTTTGGATTTGAAGGTAGCAGTGCAGCTTTGCAGGGTTTAGGGGCAAACAGTCTCGGCACTGCGGCTGGCAGTATTTCAGGTTTAGCACTTTGGGCTTTGACTTGCGGTTGGGGGCTCAGGTGGGAACATCCACACCGAACTGTTAATGAAGCCAGTCTATCAGATGGCGAGCGTTCCTTTCATGAGGCTTCTTCTGCGGATCATCCCTGCTTGCAACTAGACTCCACCCCTAATCCTCAATCACCGCAGAAGGACAGCTCCCCATCTGAAAAGGCTTCTTTTGGAGAGGAGCGGTGCGTTTCTGGGCGCGAAAACAAGCGAAATGCGTAGCTGATGGCCCCACCAAAAGGATGCAATAACATGCTGTATGGTATCACCCCCCCCCCCCCCCCCCCC